TATCATATTCGAAAAGTCCTGAAAGTCTGCGCACAGCTAACTTGTGGCGAACCTTGGCGAATTTTTGGGTCTTGTACATGTGCATGGAAAATGGCTCGATAGCGCCCCCTACAAATTTTATTGCACCAGTCATTTCAGCTAGCTACCTCACTAAAGCTAACTTTTGTGATAAAACTACACCATGTATCATGTATCATGTTAATTATTCATATACTCAGTATTGCACTTATAATGTACCAAGTTGTAGTCAACTGCAGGTTGTCTTCCTATCACCTGTCTCTCGTCTCGTCTCGTCTCACAAAATGGAGGGAAGAGTCGTGTTGGTTTATCAAGTTAGCTTATAATGTTACAACTACTTACTACACAACTTGATGGGTTAACGAAGCTTGTTGCTGAAATGTTAGGTAATGTTAAGCTAACACATCTTAAACTTTTAGCTAACTATTTTTTTCATCTATCAAAAACAATATATATATATTGTATAACACACCGGTAGTTATAATGCATACTATCTAAAATACAGAACCATACAGCATGAATGGAGCTTCTAACCAAAATCTTCAAGAGTGTGGCTGCACATGCGCAGAAAGTACGGACAGTTTTTTTCTAATTATTTTGAATTGAATGAAATTAACTTTTTTAAACAATGGGTAGATTAAAACATGTAACATTTACAAGGGTATCGGCTGATGTCTGTGCTCCCAAGGCCAATAAAACAAATCTGCAGGCAGCCTTGTCAGTGTGAGTCAGTCTGTTGTTCAAAGGGTTCAAATTCTGTGTATTATTTGGATGTTCCTTGAAAGAAACTAAAGACGGGTGATGATAGTTGTGTTGATGCTGATGATTTGTTCTTCCTATAGATCTACATCTTCTATGGCACAAGATCCAATGCCGAGTTTGTCATCCACAACGGCTTCTTCTTCCAAGACAACGCCCACGACCGAGTGAAGATCAAGCTAGGTGTTAGTAAGAGCGAGCGCCTCTACGCAATGAAGGCCGAAGTGCTGGCGCGAGCCGGCATCCCAGCGTATGTCCCACTCTTTTCACTGTTTGAAGCTTTTTGTTCTCCAGTCAAAGGACAATCATTCCTCCCCTTCCTACGTCTCTACAAAGACAGTGCTCATAAGTGACTGAATCTGCAAACTAGGCCTGAAGCATTTTAATATGGGTCAAGAAGAGCTTCTCATGACTAACTCCATGCACCTTTCATATAGCCGTAGTGCCCCTTCCAGCAGTAGATATTTCAACCAATTAGGCCCCCCTTTGGCGTAATTGAAACACATAATATAAATGTTGCAGCAGATTTATTTTTTCTCTCTCTCTCTCTCTCTCTCTCTCTCTCCCCCACCCCACCAAGTATCAATTTACCATCCGCCCCAACACTTTCATCACCAAGAAGCTTAATCATTTTATCATTAGCCCCTTAATTTTATGCAGCATTCTCTGCTTGGCATTTTTAATCAGACGCCTTTTAATCTCTTATTGATGACAGTCTAAATCTCAACAGTGGAAATTAAATGAAACAATCCCTGTTGTTGCCGCGGTGCCGCCAGATATGTTCGTAGATCATTTTTAAAGGAAACCGCATTAGATATAGCATCAGGCCTCGCTGAGATGTTGAGCACTATCATCAGACTCTCTTTTTACAATGTGGAAATCACTGTACTTTATTCATTTAACACTGGAATCAAATGAGTACATTTGACTATTCATTCATCGTTTGTAATTAGCTCTTCCCAAGTCTACAAAACCTTTTTAAAGGTCCAGTGTGTAACATTTAGGAGGGTCTATTGGCCAAAATGCAATATAATATTCATAGTTATGTTTTCATTAGTGTATAATCACCTGACCAATTTGTTGCGAAGTTTCACCCTTTTTAATCTGGTTTACCATGGGGGTATGAGCCCCTAAAATGTGTAAATTCATACTTTGTCAGGTCTGTCTGCACAACGAACTAACTGCTAACTTATTTCGTGGTAAAAGTAAAACCGAGAGCTGAAATCAAGTAACGCACACATATTTTCAGCACTTACTAGGTGGTGCAAATAAACAGATACAAGTGGGCGTGGCACTGCCTTGGCTCGCAGCAGACACATTCTCAACTCCGAGCTCTACTCTTTATAGCAGAATCTGGTGTGAGTACGGGTGTTTATTCCTCCAGAAGCTCCGGCTCTGTCCTCTGCTCCTCCTGCAGAGCTCCCCGGGTTCAAGCTGCTGTATGTGGGCCAGCAGCAGCTCTGTCTGTCTGCTCCTTCCCACACAACACTTTAAAAGCTCTTTGATAAGCGCACACTTTCCACCCATGCAACTCATTGTATAGTAGTTGTATCTGTAGTTTCTTCTACATGCTTGAAAGGCAAGCAGTATTCAAATGGTTGCAATCTGCATCTTCACTGCTAGATGTGACTAAATCCTACACACTGGTCCTTTAGAGAAAGTGCATTACAGTGCAGCTTTTTCTACAAAGAGTTAACTTCCCTTAACTAGATGCTGTATTGCTGGAGCAGTGGACAGAGGGATAATTTAACTGGAGGAGTAGGGAGACGCTTGTAATGTGTTTGTGCGGTGTAATAATGTCGACCCTGTGCTACGGATCGCCACATCGATCACTTTGCTGAAATACGGTGGAAATATTGTCATATCCCAAATTACTTCAGTGTGTAATGTTATGATGCGGAATGGATTCTGCTGAGTCCTGGATCATACTTGTTTCATATATTTCCTGTCACACTGCTGACTTTCACCAGCCTGAGAAATACTCCAAACTGCAACATTAATATAATGTTTAGAGAGACACAAGAAAGACGAGAATTAGATGTGATAGAATCAGATGAAATGCAGGCAGAGGTTGGACATTTCATAGTTGCTATTGTGAAAATGCAGCTTATTCGTGTGCAAGAGCTCAAAACTTTTGATTTGCTTCTTCTTTTCCTGCCCAGTTTATCTTATAAATTAATCTTACTAATTATTAATTATTTTTTTCTTGGCTTAATTGTAAAGCGCACACCAGAAACCATGGTTTATTTTAATTTTTTTTTTAATTAACATTATCCTTCACAAAAAGACACTTACAGCTTGTTTATACTTAAAGGAAACAAATTCAAAATTATGTTTGATTACTTTTTTTTAATAATTACAACAGTTGATTAAGAAAAGGCTTTACACATATTGAATAAATATAGAATTAAATGTATATATATTTTAGCATATAAAGTTTAAAATGTTGTACAGTTTATAAGTTATTAGAGCCTGTCATCAGCAGTGCAGCAATAATACAGTTTTGTTCTAAGTGTTTTTATTAAGTACTTATAGTAATTATTGTATTAATTATCAATAGTTCATTGTTATTGTTACTATTGAGTTCAAATTTCAATCAATCTTTCTATTCTAAATGTATATTTTTGGCAGTGCTAAAATTGATAATTGATAAATGTAAAGTCTGTATATATCTGTTTTTGTTATGCATTAGGTAAAAAGAAAACTGATAAATGATCTCATTTGTTTTTATGTCATGTATTAGTCTGGCTATTTAGAAATACGCTTACATGCGTTCTTTCTGAGAGTCAGATGAACAGATTGTCCATCCCATGAGCGAGAGTCAGGACATGGTTGGCTTACCATGAAGACTATAAGCATAAGGAAAGAGCTAGCCTTGCTCTGTTCAAAGTGGACAGAGCCAGGCTGGCTGTTTCCTACTTCTTTAAGCTAAAATAAGCTAACCATGTGCCTAACTCCAGCTCTGTACTGACACAGATGTGATCTGAGGTGTGAGAATTTTTATTACAGGCTTGTTGTTCTGTATGACGAGTCTCTTATAACACAATTCAACATGTTTTATATGTAAACAATCCACAGGAATGCTCAGGTATTTATCGTGTTTATCAACTAATATGTTGGTCTGTATGTTTGTGTTTTGCAGGTCCTGTATCTTTGCTCTTCACTGTAATGAACCCCCCATTTCAGCCCAGCTCCTAGCCTTCCTCAGAGTCTTCTGCATGACCGAGGGTAAGACACTGACAGACACACCTCTATGGTAGCGTACTCTAAAACAAACCACGCCACAGTTTCCGACTGTCCTCCGAGACCATCGTCAAGCGACTGCTTCCTCCACACATCAGTGGGTGGGAAGAGATGGAAAAGAGGTGGAGGTAGAGGGGAAAGAGAGGGGAAGAGCAAGGCCTGTCCATTCCTGAGCCGGTTAATTGATCAAGGCATGCCAGCAGATGTGTGGAAGGAGCAATCCACCAGGGGGTTTGCAATATTCATTGGCATGTATGCAGAATGGCACCAGTGTCATAAATCCCCAATCACACAAGGCCATATCCACCTCTGTCACAGGACTCCTCTTCAGGACCCCGCTTGATATATTATTCACATTTTTTGCTACATGTTAATTTTTAAAATGGCTCCAAAGCCTTTGGATGTGTATGTGGTGAGGGGTATCATCTCCTGCACGCACATGTGTGCTGACATTTCTTAACAGATGTGACATGATGGAATAGTGTGCGCACACAACTGGGGTGCTGCAGTTCGCCTCTTTCACCTTCCCATGCAACTAAGACCTCAGTTCAAGACTGCATGTTTTGACAGAATTTTAAAGGTCCAGTGTGTAACATTTAGGAGGATCTATTTTATCTACAGACTGTGTCTGTATATAAAACAGTTAAATTCTAAGGTAACAAGAAAACAGCACTTCCTATGTATACACTAATGACTAGTAGTCGACTAAGAAAATACAGTAGATTAGGGTTAGTAACTGATTTTGTGATAGACATCTGAATAGGTTGCAGTAAGGCAAACCTTTGTCATAATTGAGTGCATGTGAGGAAAAAACATTCAGTTATGTCGGACAGGATTTGTGAAATTTGTGAAATGTCTCGAAATTTTGATTTGTTGTAATAAGTTACGCTCACTTTAATCAATCAATACCATATTTCATGCAGCAATTAAAGATCTAGCAAATCAAATTTCATACAAATCCATGCAGCTGATTTTGAGATATAAAGTTTTTCGCATTTGTAGTGCCCCCTAGTGGCAGAATATTACAGAACTGCCCAGCAAAGCTTGGGCCTAGCATCCAATCAGTTCGACTGACAGACTGTTTATGCAAAATTGTTTATGCTAATTTCAAAACCATATTCAGATATGCAAAAAAAAAAAACTTTATCTGGATTTGTCCAGATGTGCTATGTAAGCAATTTGATGAAATTTGTAGCAGTAGCGGGGAAAAATGGTTTGGACAAAATTCAGGAACCAGATCCTGACCTCTGTGTCTTTCTCTCATGAATATGATCGTATTTGACTTTTCGTTCCTAGAAACAAAGATCCGGGACCGGGAAAAATAATTTCTTGTGTCCTGGTAGGATCCCATTTCTATAGCAAGTGTGCATCTAAAAATGTGTTTTCTGTTTTGTTAATGGCAAGGCAAAACTAACTGCCTTCCTATAGGTTCACATGTGCAAACCGATTACCTTTTATTAGGGATGGGAATCAAGATCCGGTTCCTGTTCAAAAATTGTAATCGTATGCCTCCAATGTTATCGTTTCTTTTATTGATGCCAGTATGTTTTTCTGACAGTTAGGAATTGTAAAACTATGACATTGTGCATCTACGCTCCTGGAAACCTGGAGACAAGAAGGAGTCATGGGGGAGAGGGATGAAGGGTCCAAAACGTAGCCTCAACAAACAAAGACTGAAACTACTAATAAGCAGAATTGAAAAGAACGCCATCAGTATCAACAAAATCTTATCTCTTCTCATTCCTACCTTTTAGTCAACTTCCACTTCACTTCACTTCTAACTTTTCCCTAACAGTTATCTTGCCGCTGGGCTTTGGTTTCTTATGAAGAGATGCTAACATTTAGTTTGATTTCAGAGGAACTGAAAGACTACCTGCTCGGAGATCGTGCCATCAATAAGATCTTCACCCTGGGCAACAGCGAGTTCCCTGTCAGCTGGGAGAATGAGATCAAGTTGTGGACTTTCCTAGAGACCCGAGCTGCTCTGCTGCTCAAGACCTACAAGACCACATCAGAGGTCAGTCAGCTGGAAGTTATGTTGAAAGTTGAAATGTGGGGTGTCTGACTGCAGGGGTGTTGAGGGTTCAGTGTGGTGCAAACAAACTATTTCTAACCTAGGGTCATCAAAGCAATCGAAATGTGTTTATACCTCTCCCAAAATCCAAAGCATGATTGGTGGATTTTCAATTCCAGAAAGTTAGGATGCAGCCTCTCCCAATTCCAAAGTCAGACAGATGCAGGGGGAGCTTTTTGAAGATCCAACAAATACTTTTAATTGTGTGATTGTGTGATATTGCAGTTTGTTATATATTACCTTCTCTCTATAACTCTTTGTCATCTTCCCCTCCCTCTTTCTCCTGCTTTTTTTACCTCTTAACTCCTGGTCTCTTGTAGGAGGACCGCTCCATGCTTGAGAAACCTGATCTATCTCTCCATTCTCGCGTGGCGATCCAGCTCCGCCTGGCCGAAAAGCAGATCCTGGAGAAGGCGTCGGCCAGTGGACGGGCTAAACGTCTGCACTTCCAGAAGAAGCTGGAAGAGGGCGCTCCGTTGCCTCTCTACGAGGAAAGCGATATCGCTTTGCTGGAGAATACTGACACAGATGCAAAGCTTCCTATTATCCTGCGCCAGCTGGAGGAGGTTGAAGAAGGCCAGGAGATCCAGGTGGAGGAGCACAGTCACCTCCTGAATGGGGAGAAGGCAATGTATGAGATGGGTATGGAGGCTAATGGACAGGAGGAGGATCAGGAGAAGGTCAGCAAAGATGTTAATTCAGCTTTGGACTTGATTGGAAGTTCAACCCAGAAGGGCGAAAGGGAAGTGGCTAATCTAAGTGCCAGTCGAACTGAAGAGAATCCCAAAGAGAACGGTGAATAAACATAACCCACTTACTGCCACAGCCTATGCTATTTATTAATTTTTGTGTCTCTTAAAGGAAGAAAATATAGAAGCTGAAAAAAAATTGAATTCAAAGTCGCTGAACTTTTCCGACTGTATGTTCATCCAGTGTGGCTTTTCTTAGTTGTCCACTGCTGGACAAAAATGCTGCCAGTGTGTCCCTCAGCCTTCTCTTCAGAACAGGATTTGATTCAAATTTGCTTTTGTTTTAAGTTTGAAACGTAGGTTTACATTGAAACATTTTGAAGCCTACAGCATTGGAAAAAAGCAAGAGGGGACACCACAAACTGGTTCAAATTGTTAGGTGAAGAGAAAAAAAAACTAATGGAGTGAGGTGAAATGTTATTTCCGCAAAGCCAAAATCCCTCTAATCTTTCGAATTGGTTGGTTTATTACTGCAGTTTGTCTCCATATATGTCCAGTATGTTTTGAGTTGACAATCGTATTCTCTAGTGTATTTTGTGGTGTGCTACTGAGTTAAGACCACCACTGCCCTCTATTCCCTGTTTCCCTGGTTAAACTAATCTCAAGCTAAATAATTAATAAAAAACATAATATGCTCTCATTAGCCTTTGAGAACGCTTGTTTTAAATTGATGGTAACTGTTGTGGTTCAGTATGACAGGCCAAAATGGAAAATAGTTTTTGCTTTCTCAATGAAACCTTTTTTATTTTTACCATCAAAATGTGCATTTTCTATCATTACATAGTTGCAGCCCTCATTAAGGAACATGTTTTATTTTGTGTTTAAAAAGTATCTATGAATGTACTCAGTTTACATTGCAGTTAATATACACATATATGTCGCTAAAAGGGAGTGATTAGTGACCCGGTGATCACTGTTATTGCCCCTGAGAAAGCCATATACAACATTGAGGACTTAGTGAGACATGATGATGATGACGACTTTGTCCTGTTGGAAACATTTTGTTCGACTGCCTTAAAATTAGGCAATTTCAAGATGACACTATTTGTATGAAAAACACGGAAGCAGTTTGTATTAACTGTAGGGGTGGCCCCAACAACTCTGAATGTATACTGATACAAATAACTGATACTGACTGAATCCCTGACAGTCAATGCAGCGTAGGGGAAAATGTGCAATTTTGGCCAGTTAGAACATTTTACCTTATTGCGTACTTCCTGTTTTAACCACTGTCTCACCTCAATTTCTCACCCATTGTGTATAGTTATGGGTGAGACGATGAGGTGGAGGAGGGACTTTGTGCTTCAACTGTACTACAGTAATTTAGGGTCACAACTTTGTTTATAGGGCTGCTGTGTGTGGCTCACTTTTATGTAAACGATAATGATGATTGATAAAGTTTGACAAAATAATAAAGTCAGTGTCCAACTACTAGTTTTTTCATCAGAATATATATGCCCAATTCTGATTTATTGGTCAGATCAGATTTTTTTCTTTGGCTGTTCACATTATTTTTTGAATGTGGCTGGTATCTGATTCCAGTGTGAACACGTCACGGTACTGAAGTGACCCGCATGATATGGAAACACATTAAGTGACGTAAAAGTCACATGAATTCTGATATCAGACTAAGGTCGCATTGCAACCACCACATATGAAAAGGGCCCAAATCAGAATTAAAACGTTTCTGCTGTTCACACTGTCATGAAAAAACAGATCTGAGTCACATATGAGAAATGAAAAAATCTAATTTGGGTCACTAGTGTCTGCAGTGTGAATGTAGCCATATTTGATTAGCTAACTTTAGTGTAGTCCTAGTTGTATACTGGGAGAGATGCTTGTTTTTGGCATTGGATGTCTCCGACTTGGCAACGGGAGATATTCTAGTCCGCTCAGCTATGAGCCAGAGAGCTAACGTTATGCTAGCAAGATTCAAAGTCAATAACACTGCGTACG